TTGGTATGGAATCATCCTCAGGTAGTGTAGATTCAAGTTTGTTCAAATCATGACCCCCGGGGGTTTGGTGGTGCTACAATGAGGGGTTAAAGTTTTACATAGGAATATATAGGAAAAATCTAAAAAAAAAAAAATCTTCTTCTCAAGAACAACAAAGCCATAATTAGTCATTATTATTATGGAATCTTGCTCAGGTAGTGTAGATTCAAGTTTGTTCAAATCATGACCCCCGGGGTAGGATGGGGCCACCATGGGGGATCAATTTTTACATAGGAATATATAGAAAAAAAATGTAAAAATCTTCTCAAGAACAACAAAGCCACAATTAGTCATATTAATATGGAATCATCCTCGGGTAGTGTTGATTCAAGTTTGTTCAAATCATGACCCCCGGGGGTAGGGTGGGGCTACAATGGTGGATCAGAGTTTTACATAGGAATATATAGGAAAAATCTTTAAATTTCTTTTCAAGAACAGGAAAGCCATGAATAGTCATATTGATATGGAAGCATCCACAAGTATTGTAGATTCAAGTTTGTTCAAGGCATCTTCTTCAACTAGTAGGGTTGGGCCATAGTGGAGGATCAGAGTTTTACAAAAGAACATGTATAGGAAATATCTATAAAAATCTTCTCAAGAACAACAGTCATTATTAGTTATATTGAAATGGAAGAATCCTCAGGTAGTGTACATTCAAGTTTGTTCAATTCATTAACTGAACAACCCCCCACCCACCCGATCCCCGGATAGAGTGGCAGACATCTTTAAAATTCCGTTTTCAAAAACAGCAAAACCATGATTAGTTTAAAACATGGCACCTGGGGGTAGGGTATGCCTAGAACAGGCTTAACAGCTTTACATATGAATATATAGGAGAAGAAATCTGCTGACGAAGAAAAGCAGGGCAATATTGATTCAGGTGAGCGTTGTGGCCCATGGGCTCTTGTTTCGAAAAATATTAAAAATTTATGGAAGATGACGCCAGAAGATGGGGCAAACATGAAAAATACCATGACACTTTGTCGGAATGGATCAAAAGTATCAGATGGGTGTTGAAATCTCGCATTTAGCGATCGAGGGGAAATACGAAAACCATCTATCCTTCTTTCTTCATTAATTCAAAAGTGAAAAAAGAATAAGAAAGAATATGCGATTTATATGTACTGGTCCCAGCCAAGAAAGCAGGTAACAACATTGCATTTATAAGGCTCATTTTTTTTTTCAATTGTACTTTAGAGAAGCTGGGACTTAATTTCTGCAAGTGGTAAACCAACTTATACTCATAGCTCCCTTTCTGAGGAGAAAATTCTTCAAAATCATGTAAGTTTTGAATATTTTTAATTTTCCCAACAATCAAATTGAATTTTATAAACAAGTTGATGAAACAAGGATATCAACAGTCTCATTTAAAGTCAATATTTCACAAATTCATTAGTCGATACATTGACTTTGTCGGAAAATACAATCTATCATTAAGTTTAATGATGACTGACGTGTTTCATACTAATTGTAAGACCATTATTTATACGCTGAATTGTCTACGGATTTTTTTTCAGTTTGCCCGAACCTGACAAGGAGCACACGGTGGGTGTGAGGGTAGCAGGGGATGCTTACTCCTCCAAGGCATTTGACCCCACATCTGATGTTTTTAGAGGTCCGTGTTTGTTTTGCTCCTGATTTGTATTGTTTCATTCGAAAAAATGTATAATCGTGCTTACTTTGATGTACAACTATAGTATGACATTATTAAATCTTTGAAAATAGTTTTGCATGTTCGTAAAATATACAAAGAAATTTTTACAAAGGTAATTGAGTCCAGGTAAAATAAAGGAAAGGTAACTCTTTCATTGGATCTTTCCTGCCAGAATCTTCGTGATATCTAAATACTTTTTATTTAATTTTCAATTTCATTCAATTAATTTTTAATAGTCATTAAACCTTTCAAGATCATTTTGATTTTCAGATTTTGAAGGGAATCCATCTAACAATTTTCCTTAAAATACACCTTAAATTTTGTGTTTTTTAAGAGCTGTCATTTTGAAAGCAATCATACGATATGATATTAAACAAACCTGCATTTTAGATCAGAAAACATATTTTACATTATATATATATTGTAAGCTACCCAAGGGGTGGCTAGTATTTCTGAATCCTCAGCATGTACAGTATACAGGTAATTACTTCATCATCTAAATAAATCATCTATTTACCAGGATGCACCAATTTAATTTGCTCTCATGTAAAATAGACCAGGCTCCTCTCTCTGTAGATACTTGGTGGAATAAAACTTAAGATGATGATCAGTCATACGTAAAGCATCTCATTCGTACGTAAAGCATCTCATTTATCATAACAATATAGGCAATACTCATATAACAACATAAGAAAACATAGCTGATTCTTCAGAAACACAAGTTTAGGTCGTCCAGTGTGGTAGGAGATTTCTAACTAGGCTAATTACGTGTAATTTACATTATAAGTATCTCACCGTCTTTGCTTTCTTCTTTATCTTTTTTAAATGATGCCGCCGTACAACTAGCTGAAATCTGTCGTAACGTAGTACGCGCTTGCTTATATATAACCTCCCATCCCCTGTCACATGACTCAAATTATCCAATGAAAATATGCCGTACGAACTATCAACCAATCAACAGCTTGTATGGGAATCTGAGTTCCCACACAAGTTCCCACACAGAACTACTTTTGCCACACAAGCTGCCGTACAATATCGTAACAAATATAACAACGTAAAATTAACAACTAGAAATAGAATACATAACATAAACTTGACTAGACGAATAAATTAATACCTTCAATGTTTATAAAACATTCCTAGGCTGTACAATAGGTACTAAACAAAGTAGCGTATGAATATCGTAACTACCAACGATATCGTAAACAAATGTAGTTCCGATTAAGCTGACTGATAATAAAGTTAATGCTGACAATAAAGAACTACTTATAGCCTCAAAATACACAACAACTCAAATTAAAATGTAGAATCTGATCCAATATTCATAACTTGAATCATAGATTACTGTAGTATATATGTCACTAAACTGGAAGTGACGATCCGAGTAAAGTATGATGGCTACCAAAACATGAAATGTAAATCCACCCTCTTATCCCTGATATTATAAATCCTACGACTTTACATGAAGCAACAACAGGTAAAATATGATGATAATAGCTGTTACTACAATCGTATCAAGATAAGCTGACATATTATTTTCAATAAAATCGTAAACGAACAACTTTTCTGGCAGGCACATGATGAATATAGATTTAACAAGTATGAGAACTGGACGACCGCATAATATTACGTATAAAATAAAGTGATATATATAGGATCTCCCATGATTTGTAGTTGGATATGATTTTTATCCAACGAGTTGTGTGTTTTTTTTTATCCCCGAGCCTTGGCGAGGGGATAAAAACACACAACGAGTTGGATAAAAGTCATATCCAACTACAAATCATGGGAGATTCTTTTTATCCCATGTTTAATACTTCACAACCAATGTTTTACACTGTTTTATATAGGTCTCCACTCTATTTTACTTATCACGCTAACGCAAAAACCATTGTGACGTCACAACTGCACTTAACTGTGGGTTATGAAAAAAATATCCAATGAGTCATATCCACGGGATAAAGGGGTAAACATGGGATAAATTACAATATATTACAATATGAACATGATGGAGATAAATATACAACATATTTCATAAATGATGAAATTAAAAACCTCAGTCCTAATGGCACATTAGGTTATGATGTATTACACTTCAATTGAACCCATTCTAACAGCTATGTTTACGAAGATAAACTTAAGCTTGGAATAGCTTAAATTCAATTTTATTGTAAGATCTATAACTAAAGTGTAGTGGACTATGAAAACTCGGACCCTTTTGAAAATACCACGTATACGAATAGTGTAAATATGTAACAAAAATATTTTTACTTCCATCATTGATACAATTGACTTATCTGTTAATCTGCCCGTACGCATTATGTACAATTTAAAAAAAAAATTCACAGTAATGTTTTTATTTTCTATTTGTAATGATTCAATTACAGCGTTCTTAAAAATTTGTTTAATTAGCTTGCAGAGGTGGGGTTATCCTGGATGGCTTCGTCCGTTCTTCAGTTCATGTTCAGGTCTGTTCCTGTACTCGCAAATGTTTATTCTGCCGAGAAATGTGTGTATTATTTTGGAGACGATTAAGATATTTGTCCTGACAATTATTTTCATTGAATGCAAAAGATTTCCTGCTATTTGTATTTTGCAAGTGAAAGAAGTTGCATTTTAAAAATTCCGAACTTTGCACAAGACACGCTTACGCATCCTCTTTTTAAATCTTGAATTGATTTTGAAAATCTATATGATTTATAAAATGTATTACTGAACTTTAAAATCACAAGCATCTACTTCACGTTGTCCCCGGCCCCCTGTGTACGAATTCATGGTCAGTGATAAAACAATACACATTCCCCTCCTAATTTTCCTAAAAGTTTCCTGGGATTCAATCCTAAGCCCCACTGATTGAGGAATTGATGTATTCCCTCTTCGACATAAAATCCATGGTACACCTCCCAAAGAATTCTAAATATATTACCTACAGTATTTTTTTAAACAAATCAGAGATATGATGTTTAAAGAGAAACAATGTTTCCTCCGTGTTCGACCACTGTTACCCTGCATATTCCTTAAAATTCAGGATTCCGAGTTGTCATTTCTGATTGTCTTTTTTCGGTGACTGGACTGTATTCTACGAGACGAAAAAAAGGATTGATCATTTGATGTCGACAATAGAAAAAAATCCACTGGCTCAGTCCAGTTAGTAGCTTATCACGTGATTTGCAATCAATATGTAACATGACAGTTGCATGAGGCACGCGCAGCACGCGATAGCATATCGATCGATTTCCCAAGAAAGCATTATCATAATGAAGTCCAAGACACCAATCGCAAGAAATATTCCTTAGAAAAACATAAGGAAATGTTTGTAAGGTGTTTAGCAATGTATATTATTCTGACACATCCCAATTCTCGTAAGTTTATTGATCAGTGTATGCAGGGAACATCGATACATTCACGAGACTTGAGCAGTTGACTTTTGAGAACACCCCATACCTGACAGAGAGCTCGTATTCCATTTGTATACTTTGATTCCGACATGCGATTATGCGTTCAAGCTGCTTATATCTGCTGCAGGCACCATAGGAATAAAATGACTATAAACTGGTCTTCTTCACTCGACAGCTAGGCTTGGAGCTCGAAGTGTTTGTGAAATTTTATTGTTGTGTATTATTATAATTTATTTCCCAGTATCTAGCGAGGGAGTTAAAATTGCAGCATTCAGTTCTTTAAGGTAAATGATGAAAGATCATTTTTTTTGCTTGCTCTGAAACCAGTCTGAGTATGAAGAATGTTTTGATAATAAGATAGAGAATGAGAAGCTAAGAGAACATCGAATTAAAATATATGGTTCGTATTTATTGATTCATCGTTTACCGCGAGGAAGATGGCGAGAGAGGATGCAGCGTGCAAAATAAACATATTTTAAGGGGAAATTTAGTTGCTTTGAAAAAAAGAAATAAGCATTGTGAAAGCATGTGCGGATATGAGTGCCATGAACACCACTCAGGGAGGCATTTCTGCCTGGGCGACGGATGCCGATTATTATGAAACGTGTAATAATTGGAAATATTGATGTGTTGTGTCTGATGAAGAATGTACGAGGCTCAAATCGGAGAGAAGGAAGTGTGGTAGAAGCGCCGCTTTAACCCAGATCAATAACTCGGCATTTTCTGATTTTGATCGTCAATAAAGAGGGATATTTTGATGTGTGGCTATCGAAAACACGTTTCGACTGTCTTGGCTGATACTGGATTTTTTTCTTCCGATGCGTATTGTGGAGACGAATTAAACATATGAATTACACACGCCAGTGGAATAGCTGTTCATCTTCACCGCCATGGATTTGTGCGGGTTCGCCTGGAAGAATATTTATTACGTTCCGCTACTTGTGGAGCTGATGTTATTGAATGTCCTTCACCTCGCGGGGGGAGAAACACTTCAGAGAAGGGACTCAAGGAAATATCCATTATATGTGCCAATTACAGGCAAGTCCAACTCCACAGAAGATGGGCAAGTGCCGTTCACCCCAATATCCATACAATCCTCTTTAGCCCTACATTATATAGATTCTGTGATTAGAAATCCAAGTAAAATCTGCCTGTATAATAGGTCGATGGTAAAGCTGGATTCATTTAAGTTAAATATTGTGAATTCGTCTTTCTGCAGATTGTATAAGTCTCATGCAAAACAGGTTGTGTGGATAGCAAAATCTCTGACTGGATTACTTATAGACCACAACAATTCTAAAGTAGCAAATTTGATCAACTCTCATATGAATTTTTTGTATGAAATTATTAAATGGACTTTATTTGACAATACTCAGATAGCAGGATGCGGTATAGCTTTTGACAACGATACATTTCTGTACATGGCCAAGTCAGATTCTACAGGATTTCAAGATTTATCCACCAAGTATAACTTTACAGATTCTGAGTTTTACTCAGTTCCTGCAAACAAAGATTACACAGGGGTTTGGAACCGAAATGAGACGTTTAGCAGATTTATTGTACCTCCCCTCGATGTCAAGGATGGTTACTGGACAGATCCTTACTATGACTGTAAGAAGTTAGAAAAGTGGATTATTACGTATTCGGTGCCTTTCTTTCACCGACCAAGAGAAAAACCAGTTTTCAGGTAATTTTATAAAGGGAAAATATAGTCCAGAGATTTGACACAGAACCGATTTTTTTTTAAATAAAATCGCTTTTGGATTGAAATTAAGAGGTTTTTGCTTATTTTGCCTGTTAGATTCGCTCTGAAATGAAAATACATAAGAAAAGGTAGACTTTTTGGAACAGTACTCCCCTTATATTAATTGACACCTTTTGATTTCTATCAGATGCACCAACCTAAAAAAAATTTAATTATAGGGAAGAAAGGGGTAAAGTAGGGGTCGAATGGCTTTTATATTTTGACTGTCAAACAATGCAATATTTTCTAAATTAACACGTGATGATTTTATTTCAAAATAGTTATAAGGTCACATATAATATTATTTCAAGTTTCCTTTTTCAATGAATTAGAAAATGAAGAGTTTATACTTGCCTTTAAAATAAAAAAAGAACGAGAAAATTCGGGAAATCCTCCAAATCAATAACACTCTCTCTATATATATATATCATCTATCTAACCATCCATCTATCTATTTTTAAAAACTGCTTGAAATTACAGAGGGTATATAAGGCTTCTCTTGACATTTACAAACTTTAAGGACTATTTTGAGATTTAAGTCAGAAAAGGGCGGGGGATTTCCCCTAACTTAATCCTTTAAAAACAAATACACAGTTCCTGGGCCATCCTCGCAAGCCAGGGGTCCTGAGTCAACACGTTGCCGTTGGACGTCCAACGGCAATGTGTTGACTCAGGACTCCTGGCTTGCGAGGATGTTCCTGGGCATGCTGTAGGTGAGTGAGTTTTTACACAAAAAAGCTAGACCGTGGGATTTGTTTGTGCTCTTAATTATAGTCATGCCAACCTAAAGTTTAACCTTCAATGTGCCTTCCCATTATTAACATGTTTGAATAAAATTCTTTATTAGAAATATAAAAGAAATTTTAAAGGCTATATAAATTTCATACAGCATTTACAGATATTTTATTCCACCTTAATTATAATGTTGTCCTACACACCTGAGCTAAAGTTCCCCGTTTTATTACTGACCCTGGATTATAAGACTTGTCGATCATGGGTAGTTGAAATCCTTGTCAGTATGTGTAATGTTACAGTATATAAACCTAAAAGATTTCTATTTTGACTAAATTAAATAACTCTCGTCATGTGGTGCTTAAAAGTCTAATTCAGCAATGTTACGTTAACAGTTGTTTTCTAGACCACAAAAGGGAGGGTACCTGGATCTACTTGAAATGTTTTTCATACATATAGTACTATGGTCTCTCAATGTCTCTTCTGGCCAAACTTTGTCACCGATATTCAAATACCACGAAATTAAATAAGATATGATAAGGTGGATGAGCGCCTGTATAACTGATGATAATTATTATAGAAATAGTGAACAGTTACAGACAGATTCTACATCCAATACATAGTTGTGTATTCGACAGATGTTCACAGAGGCAATAAACACAGATGTTGAATGTTATTTTAATGAATACATTGTACATATATATTTCTTAAAGTTCAATGTGTCTTCGGCTATATTGCTTGAAAATAAGATTTACAATGAGAATTAACTTTTAAATGTTTAAGAACTTAAAAACTTTTTATTGGTTATTTATACAAAATATAAATTAAAAATTTATCAAGTGGCATTTACTGTGTTTCATAATCGGTTTTAGGAAGAAAAAAACATGTTTATGAATCCTAAGATCACTATCTTAATGTTTATTTATTTTATTAATAGTTTTGGTCAGTCATACTTTATATTTGTAAGATTTTTAAAATCAGATTACCACAATAATTAATCACAAATTTACTGTCATAAAAAAAGATTGACAACAATTTAGTGTAAAGCACTATCTAATAGGTCGGAATATGAAATAATAAGAAAAACAGAGGTTGTAGACTGACTTATTGTTGAATATAAAACATTGTATACCTGGTATCAAACAGTTCTTCCTTTTTATATTGCTGCATGTTATGTTTTAAATAAGGTAATCACACACATTCACATGCACACACAAACACAGAAATCAATATTTTGAATCTTGGGTATCCAGTATCCAAAAAAAAGTTTAATAATTAACGGTGGATATTTAGTTACATTCGAATACACGTAGTCCATTTGTTGAATCACTAATCATGGCAAATCTTGTCTTTAAAAGTTGATTGTCTTTTACATTGAATTTGTTTTTAAAGTTAAAACAGATCCTAAGGATAATAAGAATAATTTTGCAGCATCTTTTAACGCCATAATAGGCAGGTCGTATATTACTTTTTTCGTTAATTTTGCAGAAATTTAACCAATATTTAGTTAATATTTAATGTAGAGTCAGATTTTAACTTCACTACAATGTTTGTTTTTACCATTTCATTCAAATGGAAAGCAATTATTTTAATTCTTATTGTTTTACATGCATGAAGTCGCTGCTGTGGTGCACTTATTTAATATCATATACAACTCTTTAGTGTTCATATTATGTATCAACCGTAAACTATAATTGTATGGCGATTTCATACTTATCGAGTTACAAACAAATGATATACGTCACACACAGCATACTTAGCGTACAAATCGATAGGTTCATGATTCTACGCGTACGTGTGAACATGAAAAAAAGGGGGGGGGGAATACGATAAAATCAAATGCAGTCATGTAATTGTTTTTATAAAGAACATTTTTTCTGTTCACCTGCTGTTTGCCTCACACACCTTTCCCTCTCTTAGCATAAAAAAGGGTTTAAAACGATTGATAACTTGAAAGTGATTGAATTTTCCTTTATAATTTGTGTAAACTGAGGAGGGAAGATCCTATGTGATCTTTGCTTAGTTCTTGTCCCTGTGTTTCTCTCTTTAATAAATTATCATTTCAGAGCCATATGGTGGATCCAAAAGTACTGAATTTTTATATTCAATACTTACGAAGTTTTATTCAAGTCCATGCGGACTTACTAGAATGGGGTTAACCTATTCACTTTTGAAAAATTGAAAGAAGATGGGTGAACAAGGCGGGAAAAGTGCCTAAAGTGCGACAAACATGAAGTGAAAAATAAAATCTCAATTATATCAAAATTTTCTTTGGTATTTCATCTAATATGAAAGTATATTTTATGTAAAATCCCTACAATTTACAAAAATCTCACAAAGACTGAAATTATTTGCCTATGAAATAGCATATACACATTAAAGAGGACAAAAAAGACCATGTTGTCATACTTAACAAAAATTTTCGATATGAGTGGGTCTTTGCTCCATTTTTTTTGAAAATTAGTCCTGAAAGTTTGCATTAAAATAAACATTTTTTATTTTACAAAAACATGGAGCAAGGACCCACTATACCTTAAAAGTACACTTTTATGACAAAGCATTCGCATCTTTCCGAGAAATACTTGAAGTCCATTAAGTCAAGGGTCATATCACAAACAAGATTTAAGGACATTGGCAAGGTTCCTGGTTATCGTATAGAATTTTTCAAGAACTCTTGAGTAGGTTTAAATGTACTAAACAGGCTATATTCTGGACCGTTTAACCTACCAATCCAACCTTCTTTTTTAGATTTTGTGAAATCAATGTTTTTACACTTCTCAATGCATTTCCTATGTAAAATGTTGATAAAAAGGACCTACATAATTTTTCACCATAATATTTTTCCAAAACCCACTTATTTCATACAGTTTTTGTATTATATACATTATTGTATCTTCATTTCCTATGACTTCTAGAAATTTTGGCTAAAAAATTATATATCGGAACAAAACATGGATATACCGGCACCGATCATTATTTCTGAGTTGCTTCCCTTAACAGCTAAAATTGATCAAGAGACTGGATGATTGTTTTAATCATGTAGTTGACTTAATTGATGAAACACATTGTAACAAAAATATTGGCATTGTTTTATTTTTATTTTTTATTCGTAGTTACTAAATGCTGCTTCCTTCACACGACCTAGCTAAGAACTGTTCTCAGTCGGCCTACCTTTCAGCATATGTCACATCTTTGCCCTTCCCAGCATACTGAGCACAACTATCGTAAATGACGACCTATTGGCTCTTTGTCCCTGAATAAAATGTACAACAAAGCCATTTCTACTTTTCTTTCTTGCTGTATAGATGATTCTACCCGTTGAAGGAAGTACACGTGCTTTTGTTTACCGCTGTAACATACGCTTTATTGGTTTCCACCGCTTAGAGAATTCTACACGGGAGATCACTCTCAATCACTATTTTATAAGTGAAAAAACCCATGTATTAAACCTTCTTTCTCCGGAAAACCTTGACTTGCCAATGTCCTTAAATGCCACAATTCGTCAGGAGCTGTGTAGCGTAGTGGTTAGCGTGTTGGTCTCAAAACAATATGATACTGCGGATTTTTATTGCTAGGGTTCTAATCCCACGAATACCATTTTATTTTTTAATAAAAGAATAATTTTTTTCCGAGATCTTTTTTTCTCAGAAAAGTTTTTATTTCATAAACTTCAATAATGAGAACTTTACTTTAAATACTTATTCACAAATTGAATTTTTTTTAATATCTGAAGCTATAGGCACGCCTTGTTCACCCATCTTTGTTAATCAGAGTGATAGTTAATTATGTCGGCAATCTGTTTTTTTTTCTACTTTTAAAGAACGTCAAATCCAAATAACACATATTATGCATTTATTATACCCCACGCAACAAGTTGCGTGAGGTATAATGTTTTTCACCCGTCCGTCAGTCAGTGTGTCAGTCCGTCAGTCCTTTTTTTTTTTTTTTTGTCAGCGCAACTCCTCATAAACCGCTGCACAGCATTTTGTCAAACTTTGCAGATATTTAGGACACAATGTGTAGATGTGCACATTACCAGGAAATTCCGATTCCTTTATTTTTTCTGGTAATTTCGGCACTTTGCAACTATGATTTTTGGCCATATCTTGAATACAGAGATGAACAATTTGTCAGCGCAACTCCTCTTAAACCGCTGCACAGAATTTCGTCTAACTTTGAAGATATTTAGCACACAATGTGTAGATGTGCATATTACCAGGAAATTCCAATTCCTTTATTTTTTCTGGGAATTTCGGCACTTTTCAACACAGAATTTTGGCCATATCTTGAATATAGAGATGAACAGGTCAAAATAAGGATATAAGTGTATGTGTCGCAGTAGGTGCTGGCACGAAAAAGATCCCTCACTGCTCAATGGCCCTGAGTGCCGAGTATAGGTCAAATTTGCAGCTCTCCACCGGCAAGTGGTGGCGTCTCCATATGAGTGAAAAAATTCTCGAGAGGGACGTTAAACAATAAACAAACAAACAATATATATATATAGTTTTTTAATTAAAAAAAATTGCTAACAACACTAAGAAAAACATGTATACTGTAATAAAACTTGGTTTGAAGGCTTCATCGATTATAGACAATGTTTTCGATAGGTTAGGGGTAGTATAATAAAATGAAATCTGCCGATATTGCATCTTTTCTGGTATATATAATGGTGTGTTTGTGTGTCAAGATTGTATCACTCTTTTGAGCAGTAAGGGATTTTTTTTTTCGTGCCAGCACCTACTGCGACACGGGACCTCGGTTTATACGGTCTCACTTGTCACTCTTTTGGACAAACAATGCAATTATAAGAAATGTTTTATATTTCAAGATCTAAATATGTGTTGGCTTTAGTCCTCTGTATTAGATTTTTCATTCTTTTGTCCGATCTTAGTATACAGATGCCATGTAATTTTTATGAGGTTATGGACTTCACCTCTACATTTTCTCTTAAGTTAAAATGTCTTTAAATTGAATAATTTTTTGATGCTGCATATCATATTCGCTTACAAACATCATAAAATTTGTTTTTCTTTTGGTGACAGCACGTATGGACTTACATTCAAAGTTTTTTGTTGTTGTAGCTATAAGATTATAGATTTCAAGGACCATGCACACGAGGACATACATACTGTGGGTTGATAAAACACGTCAAGTATGCTTATTCAAGTAGTCTGTGATTGAGTCTTAGTAGTTTATCGTCAAAGGAATAAGGAAGCAATTTCAGAACAGGAAAGCTTTGAACCATGAGGACAATCTAGTGGAGTCATTATTAAATTCTCTCTCTCTCTCTCTCTATATATATATATGTATACAAGAAAAATACATACCCTTTTCCATTCCATATCACATCCTGTATCAGCCTGAGACATCAATATCAGCCAGAGGGCCGAGGGTTGATTGTGGCCGATGGCTGATACAGGATGTGATGTGAAAAAGGGTATGTTTTATTAGGTTTATTACAACTTAGTAATTAAATATAGCACACATCAACTTGAAAAAAAAAATACATATAAATATTCATGCACTGACTACTGACATGTAGCTTATTATATCAAAGAACAGTAATTTAAAATTAAAAGAATGTAAGCAAAACAAAAAAGAAAAAAGATAAGTGTATTATTACAAGTACTGTTTTTTAAGGTTTAATCTACTAGGGGTGTGATATAAATCCGTTTCAGCCCTGCAGGATCCGTATCAGCCCTAAAAGCTGATGCAGCTATTGTGACGTCAGACATATAACATATGCAAAAAATCTGTATTTATTACTAAGTATGTAATACTTATAATGCACATAGTGACATATAGTGCCACATACATATTAATTTCACAACATTCTGAAGGATTACTTTTAAATGACATTTACCAAGTCTTTGAAATATCTTTTTACTGGGGAATAATATTACACGATATTTCTATCAAAGAGCAAATAAAGTTGACGGTTATAAATCTGGAAGCATGAACATTGTGTTCACGATACTGCTAATAATTGACATATCAACCTATAGACAATATGCAATAGTATTCAGCTGCAATTTATGTTCTAATCAATCTTCATATAACAAAACCTATCCCTCCCCCGCACCGTGATGGAATAAAGTCTCATCAAATAAAATGTATCTTCAAAACAGCACGTATTCATTGAGTTGAAAAGGCATGTCTATGTGTTGTTAAAAAGACTTAGTACTCTGTAATTAGTCTGTTGTGCGTTTTTTTTTCTTTTGGTCATGCACAACAAAACTGGAAATAAGTCACTAGTTCTTAAAAAAAGCTTTATAAAGATTGTTGGAATAAAGTGCCACCAGTCACTACCAATAGAATACTTTCACGATGGATACCTTGTCTTTATTTACAAATCCTTATTAAAAAAAAATGGTTGAAAATGGTTTATACATTGCAAACGTTATCAAAAAATTCAGCTTTTAAGATTTGTATGGTTTTGGCTATAACAAAAGCAAGGGATATAAAAAGTTTGCTATTTTAAATATAAAAGAAATATACGAAAAAAAAATCAACATAGATAGTTTTACGAAGCCAACTCCTACTGTTAGTTATACACAATTCTTTTTTTTTTTTTTTTTAATTGGGACGCATTTGGTTGACTAAAAAGTTCAATTAATCATATGCTATAATTATAATATGTTTTCGGAGGTAATAATAATTTATGATGCACGTACTTAGAATTTTTAGCTGTTAATTGTACAAAAAATACTGTAATAATGACAAACCGCCGACAGAAATAACAAAACTCAAGAGAAAAAAATCTCACTTAAAACATAAATAACATGACACAAATATATATATCAAAAACAAAACTTCAACATTAATATCATCGTTATTAAACGCTATATTACATTTTGCACAGTTTGGAACAATCTTATATGGTTATTTGTGGCCCTAAAAACGTTATTTATTAATGGCATGATTTGCAGATACATGTTTAATCTCTAATTCATTCATCAAATTTGATTCACACTCCACTGTGTGATTGATTTTTATCCCTTCAAACTGTCTATGGCATTTTTTAAAAAAAAGTTTTTCATATACTTAGTCATCTCCTACAAAAACGACCGGTACACTATATATCTCAAAAGTCGATTATTCTTCATTCACCAGCCTTTAATTCATCTTTTTATTGAAACAAAATATTAACGTCTGACGTGCAAAGTTCGATTGGAATACTCGGCAAATTGATACACGGAAGTCAATAGAATGATAGATTTGCATGGAAGGCAATGGGTGTGACGTAACTATGTCTTGACGACAAAGGGCAAAATTTACTAAGATTAAGCTGATTTACTAAGGCAAAGGGCATTAAAATAGCAAAGTTTATCATGGAATGCAGTCCAATTTGTTCAGAAATTATTATCATTTACTTGCCTGTCTCTCTTGGTGACATTGTTTGAAATAGATGTAAACTTTATTGTAAAATTCCCTGCATTAAAAACATCAAAGATACATTGATTCCAGTCTCCATAAACATATTGTAGAATGAAAGGTGTGGTGTTTGTGACGATCAAAAAATGTTCTTTTATGCCTTGCATTGCGATGGTGAACGCTACCATCTTTGGGGTTAGTGCGTGTAAGTGTTTGAAGTTACTTGGTACAGAAAGAAGGCTCGCATGGTCTAGGCTTCTAAAAACATTAATTTGTTTGAAGTGATTTGACATGTACGTATACGCTCCTTTGTCTTTATGCCATTTGATGCTTTACTTTTGCTTTGTGAAAAAAAAGCAATTGGAAGAGCATTTGAGTGAACAGTTGTTACACAAGTGCTGAACGAAGAATTAAAAAAAATTGCTGAACAACTTATTAGTTTTTACCCAATTAAATGGAACTGTTTTCATTTTTGAAAAACGTTTTTAGAACCTAATGAAAGTCGTTGGTTCACTAATTTCAAAGATATTAAGACTACTTTGTTGCATTCAGAATTATAAATTATTTCTGTGAGTGTTGAAGTACAGCAGTAATTTTCACAATGGCATATGATGTCTTCTGTAAATATTTTATATCAAAAATAAGTATCTTTAAATTGTTATCCCAAAAATCATGATTTGATTATTTTTAGCGGAGTTGTGATGATTGACATTGACTTAAACCAATCAGATGTGAACCAGTGTGCACGTGACCAACAACTATTTTCTGGATCAAACAAATGTTTACCAGAAACGACACAAGTAAGTAGTCGAATTATTTTTCCAGACGGTTTGGTGAAGCATCATATTATATACGTAGTCAAAAGTTAAATTAATACAAAGCATCACATCAGCCGCAAAAATATATTTAGAATTTTGAAGTATTTCCAGAAGAAAGAGTCTAAAGAGAAAAATTCAAAGTAGAAAAAGTATATGACACATTTTTAATGCAAAACTGTACTCTGGGATTTTCTTCCTATGCATTTTTAATACTTTAATTTTCAATGATCAATTGTTAAATATTAATCAAAATAAGTGAATGGATATGATAATCGGAGATAAAGGATAAGAATATATCATCATCAAATTATTTGATTCAAAGACAAATGCAACAAATATCTAAAATTATAAATGTCTGAATGCTGACAAAAAAGGACGAGCAAACCTTATGTGCTGATACCCTGGGATCTTTGTTACGTGGTAATGCAGGTCAGTGTTGTGATAGATATATGTATGTGTCACAATACACGTGAAGTGCAGGAAAAATGTGTCATTTTCAACTGTAGTGTATTGAAAACAAAATTCACTTCTCAAACTTTTCAGTATTAATTATTTCAGGCACTGTAATTAATTGCCGGAACGTCAATGTGTTTTATATCTTAAATACGCCCCTGCTAGGGAGCAGTTCATGTTACAACTTTATAAAATCATAAATTAACAAATATCTGATGAGAAATGAAAACAAATTGAAACGTATTAACAACCATGTAGACTTAGTATTAAGCAAATTTAAACAAAAAATATTCATAACTTTAATGTATGTTATTCAATAAGGAATTATTACATCGAAGCAATGAAAAATTAATGTCTCATTTCACCATGTGTACATTCTGTAGATCGGTCGTTCTCGCGGCCTAAAATGAGCAAAAACATTGAAAGAATGCTATAATAACAGTAAAAACACTTATAGTTTAGTTACTTTATTTTATTATGACACCCAGTTGCTTCTTAACTAATTGAGTAATAATACACAAGTAAATATCTCTTTTGTTTTTAAATTCTAGTGTGTTCACATACCTGATAGGGGATTAATAGCAGGGAGTTATAAATGTGTGTGTCGAAAGGGATTTTACTTCCCGGATAAAAATAGCACCAAGAAGTCTTTCCCAGGATCCGAGCTAGAACAAGCTTTTTTAAATTCCTGGTACAATAAGACAAATTTGTCCAGCTTGGAGTATCAGTGTCTTCCTTGTCCACCGGGCTGTGAGAACTGTGTTGATGACACACCATGTATGGCGGAATATAACGTGTTATTACGCGGAATACCACTTGGAATTCAGAGTTTCTGCATTACAGTAACAATCGTGATAGGTGTTGTTGTGTTACGACTGCGAAAATCAAAGGTAATATATAAGTTTATTTAGAAAAAAAAGAAACACTAGATTGCTGGGTTTGTGCAGCCCTCAAATTGTTCTTTGTATGTATTGCATTGTTTAAGTATCTGTTTAATCGAACCAATAATTAATCCAGCATCAGTTAAGTTTAAAACAGAGAGTATTACAATATACATGATTGTAAAATGTTTTATTTGTTAAAGATCAATTTCATGAACAACAAGATGTGTTTGTGAAACACTAATGCCCCCGTGTGGCAACTTAAGGCGAAGAGTAAAGTTTCTCAATGCAAGTCAAACTCCGTGGTCAATGTCAAGAGATCAAAAATATTGTTATCCAAAGAAAGGACTTGTATCAATGGATATACCTGGTAAATATGAAAGTCCAAGCACCAACCATTCAAAAGTTATGGCCTATGTTCATGTTTTCTTAAAGTGGAACAGACTCCACGGTCAAGATCAAAGGGTCAAAATTAATGGTATGCAGGGGGAGACCTTGTCTTAAGATATACACATGCAAAATATAAAACCCTAGCACCGACTGTTCAAAAGTTATGTTCAAGGTTTAAGTTTTTCAAAAGTAGGTCAAACGCCAAGGTCAAAATTGTTGGTATCCCAAAAAAGGTCTTGTCAGAAGGAATATACCTGTGAAATTTGAAAGCCCTAGTACTAACTGTTCAAAAGTTGTGACCAAGGTTAAAGTTTTTTTAAATGTGGGTCAAACTGTAAGGTCAAGATAAAAAATATTTACATCCATGGAAAAGTCTTGTCAAGATGAATACACATGTGAAATGTGAGAGCCCTAGCACCAACTGTTCAAAGTTATGACCAAGGTTAAATTTGGGTACATTTTTGCAAAGTGGGTCAAACTCCAAGGTCAAGAGGTCAAATATGTTGGTACTCAAAGGAAGGTCTTGTCACAAGGAATGCACATGTGAAATATGAAAGTCATAGCTCCAACCAGTTAATAGTTATGGGCAAGTTAAAGTTTTTGCGGACAAACATACAGACGGACGGACAAGGCAAAAAACTAATACCTCCGAATCTTCGATTACGGGGGTATAAACATTTTGCTCATTTATGCTGGATATTACTATTCAGTTTTTAACTTTTGTTTTAAATATGCTACGCGATGGGTGCATATTTAAGAATATAAGATCTCCCATAGTTTGTGATTAGATATTTCTATCCAACGAGTTACAGTCCAGTTGCAAAATATGGGATATATACTTTCTATCACATAAATGGTTTTACCTCCTACACGTATTCCCATCCCATACCGCATAACAAAATCAACAATGTTAAGTCGCCAATAAAAATAATGTATAATGAAATACTAGTAGTGTTTTTTTGTTTTTGTTTTGTTTTGTTTTGTTTTGTTTTGTTTTGTTTTTTTTTGTTTAAGTAGAATCTGTTATTTTAAAAAGTTTGTTAATTACTTGTTTTGAAATTCTACCTCGACTTTCCAAGTTTATTTTTGTTCATTCAGTTACACTCAAATGGCATTATTTTTGCCATTCCGTAAGTAATTATGTGTAATTATAAAAGAAGTAATTCATGTATTATCGAAACATAAATTTCCACATAGAAATATGGTTAAATCAAAATGATTCTATTTAATATAAAAAACAACATATTTGTCATATTTACTTATAAACAATATGAGCTGTATTTTAAGAATTGCGATTGGTCTAGAGTCGCGGAGTAAGGAGTTGATCTTTACGTCGCGGGTTCGAATCCCACTGCGGGACATGGAATCTGGTCCTTCTAATGAGACCGTATAAACCGAGGTCCCATGTCGCAGTAGGTCCTGGCACGAAAAAAATCCCTTACTGCTCAAGGGCCCTTAGTGCCGAGTACGGGTCTAAATTTGCAGCCCTCCACCGGCAATATGAGTGAAAAATCCTCAAAGGGACGTTAAACAACAAACAGTGTAAATATTTGCTATTAGTTTACATGTACTTATTTGATAAATGATATTTCTGCATGTAACTTTGCATTAAACTATATAAGAACAAACCATTTCTGTAATATGGAAAATATAGAATTCCTAGAATTGTACAACAATTTTTGTACGGCGGTAATGCAATTTTGCTTCAATCTGAGCTTCTAAATGGTTGTTATAACTACGAAAATAGGAATAACAGAAGTTTCTAAACCTTCATTTTTTTATGTCATTGAAATACTAAATTACAATTTTACAACACAAAATTTCCGACACGAAAATTGCACCTCATATTGCTTTAAATATAAATTGGATGTTATGGCGCTACCTTGTTTCTAAAAATTCCAAGAAAATTTAATTATAACGAAATTTTTTACAAACGTCAATCTTTAAAGCTACTCTCTACGCAAATACCGAAGACGGATTTTCGAGAAAATGCCATCCCACCAACAAAAAGGTTACGTGTATGTGACATATGAATTAAAATATAATACACGTAATATGATTGGAAAATAAGAATTGACTTGCGATCGGCAACTCTCGCGATGCATCCACATACGAATAGGGTGTTCAGATATATAATTCTAGCATCGGACTTAAGATAATTCAAGTTAAATATGTATAGAAAAAATAACTATCCCATTTCTTTTCAGGTGATGGTAGCGAGCATGTGGATTCTTCTGGAAATGGTCCTTGTCGGTGCTGTGTTGTTATATTCCACGGTAAGCTTTAAGCTACGAGACAAACTCGGTCCTGTTTGTTTTTATTGATCTCTTATTTATATGACACCTTCGCATTTCAATTTTGTGATGTTCGGTTTGGAAAAGGTTGTTGAAACCTATACAGATATACCTGCAGAAGTTACAAGAATTTCAGACTAGATATTACAAAATGGAGGCTGTTGTTTGTTCCTGTATTTAATAGTTCTTTGAATACATGTAGATAATTCAAAAGCTGCGAAGGCTCGGTGTATCTCCTATTTATGTAAATACCTGCTGGGAGAACGATTTTTTCCGAATCTTTTCGAAAATACCTACTTGCTTTCAGCAGCAGTAATGAATGGTTTTAACTAAGTTAACTCGTCGAATATCGATGGACAACAGATCAAAATGTTAACTTTGCAATTTGTGTGGCAGAGTTGTCAATGAAAACCTTACCGCCCAGTAACATTTTTCACCAGGTAAACCTAACGTCTTGGTTCACATACTGATTTCTAATACATGTGCTTACTATAGTTGCTAAGCATTCTTCTCCACTTCTGTTGCTGGCAGCTCTGTCCCAGGTTCTTCCAGCTGTTCCTATCCAGCCGTCTTTTGTCCTTCTCTCTCTTTCTTTCTCTCTCCAGATGGTTCTTGTCTTCCTTGTTATTCCAGGGGCCCATTTTGGAGCAAATCCATGTTGTGGAATCTCGAAGGATTATGATGTGGCCCATCTGCATATTCCTATGACCAATTGTGCATGGTCATGCTTTCTTGAGAAGGACATGCCAGAGATGAGTTCCCGTTAAGAAAGTGTTCTATACAAATATTTTCAAATTTCATGTGCAAAATATGTACATGTCATGTACAAATTTTGCCTCAGAAATATGTTTTTTTTTTTTCGAGAAGGACACAGGGACACATTGTGCCAAGTTTGATTTAAAATTGGCCACGTGGTAGTAAAGCTTAAAGATGGACGCTTTACACCTTTAGATCAGAAAAGTTCACTTAAATGTTTGGCTGAGATGAGCTAATACTTGTAACTAAAAAAAAGTTGATCGATTGATTGTCATTGTTTAACGCGGAGTCGGCAATATGTCAGCCATATTTCGGCGGTTGAAGTTTACGTTCCGGGTTGAAAGTTTTTGGGGTTTCTCTGGCGGCCCCCAATGAGCCTACTCTTTCTCGAAAAAAAGAGGAAAGACGAATCTTAAGTACAACTTATATATTTTATTTTAGCAATTGGCATGATATTAACTTAGATGGCTTTAAAATACATGTACAGCTAAATTTCAAACAATAAAACAATTCTAAGGTACTCATAATACCTACCAGCATCTTCCACAGCATTGACATTATCTACAGTACAACCTCATATTGTAGTAGAAAGTTGTAAACGTGATAAATGGCTTAATCTATACTCTTAAGATGTAAACGAAAAATTATACTCACCCCTTCTGCTATTTTTTTTAAATTGGTAACCGATTAAAAGGTCGAGGCAAAAACGTCTCAAACTCCCGTCTTGTTAAGTTGTCCATATACGAGTAAAGTTAAACTTAATCTTGGTTCTCCGCGAAAAATATTTCCTCGGGTATTGCAAGTGATACGGATGGCTTAATTATGCTTCGATTAGCTTCCATATGTAAAAAACGATAAAATTATCAAAAGTCAATAATTATAACATACACTGTACATTTGCTGTTGAAGCAATTTGAGAGTGTCTTATTTCATTCTTATCAAACATTTGGTTTCTATCCACCACAGATGTATCACAAGATTTTTCGTAAGAAGCAAAAATTTCAGTAATATACAGTGTTTGTTTCTTTGGTCGTTCATCCAACTACCTGTCAAACAGAGCATCAGATTGTAGGAGTATTACACCAGGTAATCAGATACATGCGAGATCCAGTTAAATAAAAATGTATTTAAACAAATGCCCTGGTGTGTAGTAAACTAAAATGTTCACTTAAAGCGCATAAAAAATACACATTGAGACATTAGGACATAATTAAGAGGAGGAAAAATGAGTGAAATTCCTCTGATATGGTATTTTACAACACGCGTGACCTTTTCAAAACACAAAAACTATGTATGTATGTTACGTTCATGTATGTATTTTTTTAAGTTATTGGTAAATGGCAAGAAGTTCTTCAGACATTGAAGTCGTATTTTGATAGTGCTTAATTTGATACATAATTAACAATGTAATTTCTTAAGAAATGAATCTATTAAAGGTATTTTGAATAAAGAGTGGGAATTTACTTAATATTTTTCCCAACAACTTTACCTTACAAAATTATTTCATCATATGCCATTAATTTTATTAAAACCATTACTGTAAGTAGTCGATTATTAGTATTAATAAGTGATTAATTAATGAGGCATCTGACACGTATTAGACGCCCATCCACTGGAACGTGCAGTCTGAACCTGCTTCATTTCGACACGTTATACGGAATGATGCAGCGAAATCTGATGTTTTCTTCTAATGAAAAATTTATTATAATCTTCTTGTTGGGTATTGTTTTACTAAACAAACGCTTGACATTTTGATGACATTTTAACATACTCTGTAACTTTGAAATCTCTAAACATTTCAACTATCCACAAACATATCGACATACAGAAAATTCTTATAGAGAATCTCTATTGCGTACGGTTTTTGTTTGGGGGGGGGGGGGGATTCACGTGGTACTATATTTTATTTTTTTGTGCTATTGGTAGACTAGTGGGTCTTTGTTTGATTTTTTTTTTACTTTTAAAGACAACGACCTCTGTTTATTTCTACTGGTGTTCCTGTTTATGCTAATTTTCATTCAGATTTTTGCACCAAAGCTGCCCATTTTGCTGCAAAACATTATTTATCACTTATTCTCTTGAGGTCTTATTTCTACAGGAAACGAGTTTCATATTGGTATACATCATAACACTCTGTGTAGCAGAGCAAATAAATAGATATCTTTCTACAAACAAATGAATTTTGTCAAGTACTTTACCAACATATATCTCTCTGACACTTGAATTCTCATTTCTCTCCGCTTCAAAAACTCGATATAGTTATCTGGAAGTGTATGCATGGGCTGGGAAAATGGTGCTTCAACATTTGGTGTATACACTCGTTTTAATTTCCTCTGCATAAAGAACTTTGTTAAATTAGTAAAGTTTTAGTTAAAACTGAATTGAATGTTTTGATTTCAAACCTGATTTAAATACCCCTTTATTTGCAACGCAGTTTACAGAGTTGATTGTGACATTGGCAATTGACAGGTGTTTGATGACGATTTTGTTGCTAGATAAATATTGTTTGTGCCTTTTCTTCTATGTCTTTATAGACTTTATTACAATGAATACGCTGACCGATTAAGTGAATCTGCCTTGACAGTTCATGCTAAGTTGTAGGAATTACATTTTTTAACAAACTACTCAGATCAATAAACAAGCCTTAATTATCGAATCCATGCACTTGTTTACAAACAGCATACCCCCACACATTTTGACAGGTTTTATCCAAATAGTGACAAAGCCATGGTTCCTCACACCTACGTATTGTTATTTATATAGTGTAAAACAACTATAGACTCTGTGTACTTAAGAATTTCATTTGACTCTAGGATGCTTCAACATTTAAAGACGCTATTTGCATTCAATAAAGATAGTCTTCCATTTTTTTCACCAAATTCTGAGCTACGTTCAAAGCAAGTAAAAATTGATGGTCCTGAAAACTTAATTTGAAAAAAAATGAGTGAAAATAGATTAAAATTGTTCACGATATACGAAGAGAACAGCTTACACAGTGAATTAAATTGCAGTAGACAAAGAAAATTAAAAATGGTTAAGCTTTATATTGGTGAAAAAATTCAGACATAAAAATACAAATACTGTCAAAATGGACAGACTGACAAGAGGAAGCAGTATCCACCTTCTGACCTCTTTTGGCCGTTACTGCTCAGTGCATGGATTCACCAACGAACAATACTGTGCAAGTACAAAAATACTCACTTCAATTAAGCCAATGTCATCATCGTTGTTGTTAAATTCCACATATATTTGTCTTAATACTGCTCGTTTCACGATATTTCACTGATTAGACTTAGATGCAGTTATTAGTTAATTTTCAAAATTAAATCATATTGATTGACATGTTTAGCCTTCTAGCTTCTATTCAAGTTTCAGGATATCAAGCAAAAGACAATTATACTGCATACAATTTAAACACTGAAAGTACATGTACCTCTAAACACATTTATCACTGAACTAATTCTGTACAAAGTGCCAAGTACAGAAAATGTTTCAGAAAGAGCTCTGTTTAACGACCAATAATAACATGCTTTAAAAACTTCACGGGTGAATATTGTACTCTTCGGGTATCTAAATCCTCAGATTAATGTCAAAAATAGCAACAATTACACAGACATTTGTTTTCTATGGAGGCCAACCTCCCTTTTTCTTTCACAAGGTTCGTAACTCAATTTCAGACACCCCCACTTCAAACTCGTATTTTATTATCCATATATCATTCACCTACATTATCTTGATATATTTATCTTCGAGATACTTTTTTCTTGTCTAAAAAATCGGTCCAGACGTCCTTCATCACACCTCTATATTGTAAACCATTCATTTATTCCTCGACAATTAACGTATTTTAAGACTTTACACAAGATACATCAACTTCCGATTAGGCTTATTAGTGTATGATAAAACCAGAAACTACAGAATGAACAGCCCAGAAGTGTCTGTTTTATTGTACACAATAACCTTAACCGGAAGTTGGTGTATCTCCTGTAAAGTCTTAAAATGTGTAGACAATTTTCGAAGAGTAAATAAGTAGTTTACAATAAAGAGGTTCGACGAAGGAGGTCTAGAAGGATTTAATAAAAAAGAAAAAGGTTTCTCGAAGCGAACTGTGTCTTGTTAAAGTAGTTTAATGATTGATAAATAAATAACCACTTTACTCATCGATTGGATGTATGGTTTCAAAGAAATGAATACTACTTTGCATATGAAAATACCACTGATTGTAC